AAGATGGTGGTGACAAAATATCAAATTTACAATATTGACTTAAATAGGTGATTAATATTTATGTGTAACCGATTATGGTTTTTTTTTTGCCTTTCACGTTTGTTTTTTGTTTGTTTCTTTTGTGCTAATGCAAATTCGGTTCAGTAATTAACCCTTTGAGTGGAGGAGTAGAAAAAAAAAACAAAAAGCAAATATTTAATAAAAGTAAGACTTAAGTCTAAACGACCATAATAGGTGTTCATAAATTTGGAAATTAATAATAACGATGCCAGGCTTATGGTAATGTTAGAAGCATAGGTGTTGCAATAACTACGCAGTTGTAATGGAACGTCCATCTGTGGAATTTCTTTCTAAACAACCACAACCGTTATACCTCTCCAAAATGTTCAAAATATTGAAGATCCCTTACATTAATAAAACACAAAATTATTCTTTAATTATACCATCAGCTACATGGCTAGAGAGAGTATATATCACTTGGTATGGACAAAACGTGCCTCATCGAAATAACGGTTTTAACTCAAGGTCTGGTGTGAAGATCGGTCCACTCCTTCTGGTACCTCCCCCACGAAGGATCAAAACTTTGAATACCCATGAAGCTCATAAAACGGGAAATTAACATTTTATTCCATTCCGACATGTTACATCTCAATATTTCCATTTACACAGGATCTGTTATAAAGATGGTAGAGATCGGACCAATCTTTCTGGCGTATCCCCACAACAGGTCAAAATTTTGAATAATTACAGGGTGAGATAAAAAAACTGCAACACACTCAAAAGCCATAGTTTTCACATTTTTTTTTAAATTTTATTGAATGAAAGCAAAAAATGTCGGAAATAGTGTTAAATTTTAGAATAAGTTTAGATTTGTTCGAATTGGTCGCCTTTGGCACGAATTATGGCCTTCAAACGGCCAATGAAACCGTCACATGCTGCCCGAATGTTGCTCTGTGGTACTTTTGGCCCATTCCCGGCGAAGCGCTTGTTTGAGGTGATCGACACTTTGGTAATTTTTAGTGCCAACCTTGTTTTCCAAAATACTCCAGACACAATAGTCCAACGGATTGGTATTGGGAGACTTTGGAGAACATTGTGCGCTGAAAACGAATCGAGGAACCTCATTTTGTAACCATTCTTGGGTGACGCGTGCAGAGAGCTTTGGTTTATTATTTTTATTTTATTTTATTTTATTTATTCTGATGCCACGGTAGATTAATACGACCGGAGAGCCACCATCGGCTGTTATGGCGGCCCACACAATCACCATAGACGGCACTTGAGTTCTAGTGGCCAACCGAACAACGAATGTTTTCTCATCGGAGAAAACCAAAATCGGCAGTTCACCACTTTCGGCCAGGCGAAACAACTCTTTAACTCTTTTGAGTCTATTTTCTTTCTGTTGCGGTGTAAATTCTTGCACTTTTTGGAATTTCAATGGCTTTACCCGGGCTCATTTTTCAATATTTGCCGAATGGAGTATGGCGATATGTTCAGCTCACGAGCCATTTTTCGGCCACTGCGACGCGTGTTTTGATCAAGTCGCTTCTTTACTTTTCGAACCGTTTCTGCTGATGTTGCTGTTTTCTTCCGTCCACTTCCTTGACTTCGGGCTACGCTACCTGTATCGCGGTAACAAGCGATGGTACGAGACACAGAAGATTTGTTCACATTTAAATGCTGGATTGCTCTAACGATAGCAGAATATAAAGAAATCACACTATCACGCTTGAATTCCATCACGAAGAACTTTTTTTCTGAAAAATTCTCACCAAAATGCTTTTGTACCCTTGTCAAACATATAATGAGCTCGATGAGTCGGACGAGTGGCTTAGAAAGTACAGCAGTCTGAGGTTGGTTGCATTTTTTTTATCTCACCCTGTATATCTCTCTTAACACGTAAAATAAGCATCCGAATCTCTTAAAATACTACACATCCAATGTTTACCTTGTGGTCCCTTCTCGACAAACGATCACAAGCTTTAATACTTAAATCTCTCATAACTTATGAAACTAGTCAGCGATTCCATTCAAACCTGATATATCTTTATATTTTCCTCAACAAGAGATCTGATGTGAGTACATTTTTTCTGCCCACTCCCTCCAATACATCCTCCCTCACAAAAGGTTATAGTATTGAGTTAAAATTAATCGCATACATTTTTTTACATTTTGCAGGTCCCAATATTTTTATTAGTATTAGATGAAGTGGAATACATCGATCCACTATATAATATCAAGGGATATAGTCTAAATGTGGCTCAGACACATATCAGAGAGGATTTGGATAATATTGGCCCACTCCGTCGGGAAACCCCCTCCCCCCATAAGGGCTCAACATGTTGAATAATAAATACGGTTGAGGGTATACATCCGTCGGCAAAAACCGACTGATACTTTTTAACTTATTTTTCCAAACTAAAAAAATCTAATATCTCTTCGAAATTAAGGGACTTTGCGAGTTTCTTTTCTGGCCGATAATTGGCTGTAGAGGACTATGTTTTCGTGTAACCCCTATAAAATTAATAATTAATTAATAATTTGTGCCACACTTTTTCACCGGAATTGTTTCAAATTTGGTATTTGGAGTTTGCAAGTTTGGCAAAAATATTGCTCATAGAGCTTCACATCTTCGTTTAGCTTCCATGTAATTTTACATACCTATATGCGGTATTTTGACGATGTTTGCCACACTTTTAATCAGAATTATTTTTAATTCGGAATTTGAAATTCGCAGTGGGTATCGCTTGCTATGACAGGAAATTGGCCACAAAATTCGCAACTTCGTGTGCCCTATTTAAAGATACCTCTCAATATTCGATATTTTGATGATTTTAGCAATATTTGTCAACAGAATTATTTTTAACTTGGTATTTGGAGTTCGTAGACGGCACCACCTTCCCTGGCAAAGAATTGGAATTTATAAAATTGTAACAGCATATTTCAACTGCAATTTTTTTGCATATTGCAATTTCCTTCCAAATGATTGAGGGTATAATAATTGAGCCCGGTCAAACTTAGCTGGTTTTTATATCGGATGGACCACTTTTCCTGCTCAAAGCGGTAATAAACGGCTAAAATTTTTAAACATTATAACTTCTATGAACTGGTTATGGTTACTCCCAAATTGGCACGTATATCGTTCCACAGAAATGTTAATTCTTTGATGACTTTTGTGTTTGGAGTATTTTGGAAAGCAAGGTTGGTACCAAAAATACCTCATGCAAGCGCTTCGCCGGGAATAGGCCAAAAAACCGCAGCGCAACATTCGGGCAGTGTATGACGGTTTCATTGGCAGTTTGAAGGCCATAATTCGTGCCAAAGGTGACCAAATCGAACCAATCTAAACTTGTTTAAACTTTGATACTATTTCCGACATTTTTTGTTTTCATTCAAAAAAAAAAAAAAAAAAATAAATAAATAAATAAAATAAAATAAATAAATAAAAAATAAAAAAAGATAAAAATTATGACGTTTGACTTTGTTGCAGTTTTTTTTATCTCACCCTCTATATCTTTTCACAACAGATCTTGTGTTAGCAAAAATCTGAATTGAGCTTAATGGATACTCAAAATTTTGACCATTTGTGGGGGAGGTAGCAGAAGGAGTGGACCCATCTTCCCAGCCCATCTTCACATAAGATATTATGTTAGTAGACAAAATAGGATGTCTGAAATTTCAAGAGAGCCGCATGTTTTTTCGGATATTATAAGCGTTTTGTTTACTCAAAATGGTGATTCTTTGTGGGGGAGGTACCAGAAGAAATGGTCCGATCTGATATCCGAATGGTCCGATAGAAATATTGTGATGTGTGTAATTTGAAGACAATCGGACTGTTACATCATATTTTATAAGAGTTATAAATATTAAAATTTTTGATTTTGTGGGGGAGGTACTTTATGGAGTGGACCGATATTGTCCATTTACGCACTTGGCGTAGCACAGATTCAAATATTAGGATTCGCAAAGTTTGAGCAAAATCGGATTATCCTTTCTTATTCTGTGCAGTAAAATATTTCTTTTGGCAATTTCTTGATATTGCTCATCTCCGAATTAGTTTAACAATAATAATACGTTGTACCAAGTTTGGATCAAATCGAATGTTCGCTTCGAGAGTTATCGTGCGCCACAGCTAGTCAGACAGAGAGACGGACGGAGGGACATCGCTAGAGCGGCTCCAAACGTCCTGAAACGTATTTTGTCCAAACAGACCTAGGGTCTAAAACTGTTATTTCGATGAGTCACGTTTTTTCCCTTATCAAATGATATATATGCTATCTAGCCATATGGCTGAGCATATTAAAATTATCCTGACACGTGTCCAAATATTTTGATGGCTTATCAAGTGTTTAAGGAGCTTAACCCCTTCAAAAATGGCTTTGAAAGCAAAAACAAGGATTTTCTTCTTTCTTACATTTTTCACTTCCGAACTTGCCAGTTTTTCCCTCTTTGTTATGCCAAAATGACAACAGCTTAGATTCCACAATCCAAACTGCAACTTCTAAAATAAATTACTGATTCGGCTAAGATGTCAACGAAGCAAAGCTTTCTTACTTCTTAAAAAAAAACAAACAAATTAACTGTAGACAGCTTCCAGACGACTTTTGCTACGTCATCGATACGGTTCTATAACTACACGAAGTTTACCAAGTTGTTAGCGCATGCGTGTGGTGCGTGTTGTTGTATAGCTGATCTTTGGACTTTTTTTTTTTTTCAATAAATTTCTCAATGAAAGGGCCTCCCACGTCACTAATTTATGAATTCAAATCCCGACTGTGTTCTTTTCTTTTTTTTTTTTGTTGGCCCTCAATATTTCAGTGTTGGACCATTTTAGGGTTTTGTTTTTGTTTCTTTTTTTCCCCGCTGGCATACCGTATGGCTTGCCCGGCGGTGATTTCCCTTCTGATGTCTAGACATAACAATTCACAAAAAAACAAAAAGAAAAGACAAAACTTGAAATCTTCATTTGACCGCTATAAAAGTTAGGTGTTACCTTTCGTTGGCATTCAGTAGATTTTTTCTGATTGTCATAGACACAACACATCATGAAGGTATTCCTTGTACTCGCCGTTGTGGTCGCCTCGGCCTATGCTTATGGTGCCGGTGGTAAAGGTAGTTCCAGTGCTAGTTCTAGTGCCACTGCCACGGCTGCTGGCAGTGCCGGTGGATTAGGCGGTGGTTTCGCCGGAGGTTTGGGTGGAGCTGGTGGCCACCGTCCACATCACCACCACCATGGTGGTGGTGTTGGAGGTTTTGGTGGTCCCGGTGCTGGCGGCTTCGGTGGTGCTGGAGCTGGTGGATTTGGCGGTGCCGGCGCTGGTGGTTTTGGCGGTCCAGGTGCTGGCGGTTTTGGAGGTCCAGGTGCTGGCGGTTTTGGCGGAGCTGGAGCTGGCGGTTTTGGTGGTGCTGGAGCTGGCGGTTTTGGAGGCCCAGGCGCTGGTGGTTTCGGTGGTGCTGGCGGCTTTGGTGGTCCCGGTGCCGGCGGTTTTGGTGGTCCTGGCGGATTCGGTGGTCCCGGAGCCGGTGGTTTCGGTAACGCCGGTGGTTCAGCCTCAGCAAATTCAGGTGCTTCCTCTTCTGCTCTCGGTGGTGGTGTTGGTGGTTTTGGCGGCCCAGGTGCTGGCGGTTTTGGCGGTCCAGGTGCTGGTGGTTTTGGCGGTGCTGGCGGTTTTGGTGGTCCCGGTGCTGGTGGTTTCGGTAATGCCGGTGGTGCAGCTTCTGCCAACTCTGGTGCTACTGCTTCAACTATCGGCGGTGGAGTTGGCGGTTTCGGTGGCCCAGGTGGTTTTGGTGGTCCTGGCGGTTTTGGTGGTCCCGGTGGCTTCGGCAGTGCCGGAGGTTCTGCCTCAGCTTCGGCTAGCGCTACATCATCGGCTGTTGGCGGTGGTCTCGGTGGTCTAGGTGGCTCCTCGGCTAATGCCAACGCAGTCGCCAATGCCGTTGCCAGCGGTTAAATGTTGTTATTTGTTAAAGTTAACTTAATTTAAGTTTAATTTATTATCAATTAATAATTAGAAGTTCCATTTTAAAACAATTGAGTGTGGTTTTTATTTTCTTAAGATATTGATATCTAAATATTGTAGGACGTTTCATACATTTGGCACGTGTTTTATAGTTAACACGTATATATGTAGATGACATCACAGCGCTGTGATTTCAAACTCTTTTTCTAATCCAAATCAAACCAGTTTATATTATCGAAGATAGTAATGGGAGCAGGCAGAAATTTTCTCTTATAATATATTCATATTCATAAGAGGAATGGAAAATTTTGGTCTTTTGAGATATTTAAAGAATTGGGATGAGTAGGTAGGGAGATTCCTACGTATTATACGGACGGCAAATTTGCGTTACATGGTATTGCTGTATGTGGGGTAGGTACTAGTAGGAGCAAAGCTACACATTTCATTATCCAACTTCATCGAAATGCTTAAAATGTTGGGATGAGTGAAGTATAAAAAAAACAGAGACTAATTTCCCTATTTTGATCGTTTTCAAACTTTTCAATTCATTTGAGGAACCGGTACCTCCTTTATATTAAGATTGATTCTAGTCGCTAAATATAGAAATTTATGCAATATTTGGCTATCACAATAGACTCTTCATTTTTTGTCTACAGGGGGGGTCTTTAAAGGATTTTTCTCCAAAAATCCTACATTTTTAATAGAGACGTCTTTAAAAAATCCACTTTTCTTTAAACATTAAGTTAAGAGGTCCCTGCAAATATATCGTAAGAAATTCAATATTATTCACCAGAATGTTCTTAAAAAAATATTTGTAATAAATTCACAATTTTCCCCATAAAAAATATTAGTAAACATTCTTAAAAAAAATTCCGCCATCCGTAAAAAAAACCCTTAAAAGAATTTATAACAAATCCTATTTTTTGTAGAGAATGTCCTCCAGAAATATGCATAAAAAATCAACGATTTTGTTGTTAAAAGTGTTTAAAAAATCATCGATTATGCCGAGAATGCCCCTTAGAATATTCGTCAGAAAATCCTGATTTTGGGTCAAGGGGTTCTTTTAAGATTTTACTTAACAAATCAATGAGTTTTGACCTGGAGGTCCTTTAATAAAGTTACTTTAAAAAATCCACAAATTTAGGTCAAGATATTTTCTTGAAATTCTTGATAACATTTTGGATCAAAAAATATTTCTTCTTAAATCCACAAAAATAGAAAATTTACAAATTCTTTTGGCTTTGATGTAATTGAACAAATATTCTTAAAGATTCAAGATGTCTCTTCAAAAATCCAAATTTTTAACCAAAATTTTTATTCAACTGTTTCTTAAAAACATTCGCGGTTTAATGCAAAATTAGACTTTTATTTAACGCAAATGTTATGGTCTATTTCAGGCAATAAATATTTCCCGATTGCCATCAAAATTGGAAGGCTTCTGCCCAGCCCTAAGCTCCATGCTAACTTTCGCTTCGATGGGTCTATAATTGCGACCTGTGGAACAACTGCAAAATCAGGAAATTTTTCAGTTTTGATCCATTTCAATTCCTAAATATTATGCGATCATCTCCAAAAATAATAGAGTTCTATTCTGACCCTAACCCCACCTCTATTATGAATTTCGTGGGAATCGGGCCATAATTGCAACCTGTAGAGTGATTACAAATTAACATGGACAGACGGACGGACGGACATACATAGCTAGATCCACTCAGCTCGGCGAGATAGGAAGATCCATATATACTTTCCTATGTGGGAAACCAATATTTCGAGGTGTTACACAATTTTTGGCTCAATCAAACTTATAATACTCCTAACACATAGTGTTGTAGTGTATAATTAAAATTTCCTAAGAACTTCAAAAATTTTGCTTCTTGAAAAAATATCTATATTAAATCCACAATTCTTCAAAAAAATACTCTTGAGGAAAAATTCTTACAAAATCCAGTATTTTTAGTCAAAATATACTCACGAATATTCTTACTAAACCTAAGGTATTATTTGCCCACAAGGACCTCAAACAAATACTTTCACAGTTCCACCAATTTGGGTCTTTGAAAGAATTTCATAAAAAATCCACAAATTTTTGATTGTCGAATTTTTGACAGAATGTCCTTGAAAGTATTTAAAAAAAATCTGAAATTTTTATTCCAGAATATCCTTTAAATTTTCCTCAGAAACTCAGATTTTGGATCGAGAGGTCATTACAACATTTTACCTAAAAAAGGTACGGTTTGATTAATAAGATTACTTTAAATAATCCATAAATTTAAGACAAAATTATATTCTTGAAAATTTACAAAAAATTTAAAGTTCACATTTTTTTTTGGCTGTGGTGATTGAACAAGCATTCTTAAATAATAAAAAAGATTTATAATTAAAAATACACAATTTTTATAAATATGATTTCTAATCAAACGTTTCTTAAAAACTAATTTATATATTGGAAATTGGATTTGGGAATGCCACCCTTTCTAATTCTAGTTTCTTTTGGGATAAAAATGCAATTCTGCCAAATTTCATAAGAAACAGATCTCAAAAAATATTAAGGATATAGGCGAATTCATTCTTTGGGTCTGTTAGATAGGCTTGATATATTTAAAAATAGTAAGGTTCAGTCCTTGAAAAAAAAAAACTGAAACAATCGACACGTCCTTGATATTTTTGAAAACGAAACTGAAAGCTTTGCAATAATATCATGATTTCATCCCGGCGAGGAGAAGGGTCACTTGGTGTTTTCAGCTTGTTGATATGACGAGTTCTGTAAGTCGCAGAAAAATTCACATTGTCACTTTAAATTGTTAACAATTTTTAAACATCAACGATTTTTGAGAGGATATTCTTGAAAATATTCTTTAAATACCCTAGATACCTGGCCCAAATGTCCCTGAATATATTATCCAGAAAACCTCGATTTTGGCGAGGGCAACGCTTTACTTAGAAAATACAGAAAAATATATCTTTGGAGAAATATCCTTAAAAATAAACCAGAGCCTATGGGACCACTCCTTGATGCACCTTCCCTACAAAAGTTGAATTTTCTGATTTACATTTATCCGCATAAAATTGGAAATAAATGTTCAGCGGTAGATGAATTTGAATACTCCGGTTTGCTCTATTTGGTACCTAGCGCAAATTTCAATATTTTCCAAAAATTATCACATATTTTATAAAATGTGGAAAAAGCAGTCGATATAGCCCAAATTTGGTACGTTGTAGCATTTATATCACATACGAAATGGACAATAGTGGCCCCCATAAAGGGTCAACGTTTTGGATAATTGTATAAGGCTTCGGATATACATTCGTTTGGAAAATCGACTGTTCTATTTTACTTGTTTTTCTGTAAGTCCTATTTTTTTTTTAATTCACGATTTTGTGTCCTGGGTCCTTGAAATTGGTCTGTTTACTATTTTTGTAGAGGATTCCCAAAAATTTAATATTTTTGACCGAATTTACGATTTTTGCTCAGGACGCCGTTGAAATTTTTTTGAAAAAAAAAAAAATAATAATTAAAAATGTTGGTCGAATATCTACCCTGATGCAACATCTTTCAGTTGTCCTAGAAAACTTTGTCTCAGAAAAAAATTTAATTCACAATTTTTGACCAGAAGCACCTCGAAATAAAATACGCAGAAAGAAACAGCCGGAAATACTTTCTTAAAAAATAAAAATATATGAAATCAGCTTTTTGGGCCTGGATTCTCTAAAAAATCCGAAAATTTTGGTCAAAAAGTCTAGGTGGTCCTGGAAAAAAAATTGAAGAATCTGCGATTTTTGTGATCAAAAACAAGTGTTCTTAACCTAACGCACGAAAGACAGTCTTAAAAACTCCTCGATTATGAGTCCAGGGGCCCCTGAGCTAATTTCTTAAAAAATGTTCGTATTTTTGCTATATAACGCTCTTGAAACAATTTTTCTTAAATAACCTACAACTTCTGTCCTAGTCCGCGTTCTTGAAATCAAATTCCTAATTTAATTATACCCTAAGCAATATGGCTTGAGATGAGGCCAAAACGTGCCTCATCGAAATAACGGCTTTACACCTTATGTCTATTTGAACCAAATCCGTTTCAGGACATCTGGAGTCGACCTCGTGATGTCCGTTCGTCTGGCTGGCGCGCACGATAAATCTCGAAAGGAGTATCCGATTTGGTTTAAGCTTGTTACATCGTAATATTAACAAACTTAGATCGAGTTTGGAGATGGGCAACATCAGTCCTATCTTTCTGGTACCTCTCCCGCAAAAGGTTGAAATTTCCAAAGAAAATATTGTACTGCACAGAGAGAGAGAGAAAGGATAATCCGACTTTGCTCCAATTTTGCAAAAATCCTAATATTGTTATCAATTCTAGGTCAGGTGGAAATGAAAATGGACTATATCGGTCCACTCTATCAAGTGCATTTCCACAAAGGGTAAAAATTTTGAATAATTATAACTCTTACAAAATGTAATGCAAGAGTCCGATTGTCTTCAAATTACACATATCACAATATTTTTGTTAACCCAAGATCTGGTGTTAAGATGGAATATATCCGTCCTATCCTTCTGGTACCTCTCCCACAAAGGTACCTCTCATAAAACCGGATGTTAACATCCGGTTACATTCAGACTTGGCACATCTCATTATTTCTATAAACACAAGATCTGCTGTGAAGATGGGATATATCGGTTCACTCCTTCTGGTACCTCCCCCACAAAGGGTGCACAATTTTGAAAAACCATGAAGCTCATAAAACAAGAAATTAATATGCGACTATCTTCAGACTTGATACATCTCAATATCGCCATCAACACAAGATCTGTTATAAAGATGGTAGAGATCGAACCATTTCTTCTGGTATATCCCCCATATAGGGTTTAAGATTTTTGAATAACCAAAACGATATTAAAATTCGAAATAAGCATATTCTGTTCTCTTCAAATATCGAACATGCCTTTATTTGTGCTAACACAAGATCCGCTGTGAAATTGGATATAACGGCGAAATCATTCCGGTACTTGTCCCAAAAGGGGTTCAAATTTTTGAAAATCCATGAAGCTCATAATACCGGAAATTAATATCCGATTCCCTTCAGACTTGTTACATGTCAATATCGCCATCAACACAAGATCTGTTATAACGATGGAAGAGATCGAACCATTTCTTGTGGTACCTTCCCTACCCCTACCCTATGAATAACCCAAACGATCATAAAATTCGAAATAAGCATCCTGTTCTCTTCAAATTTCACACATACCCTTATTTTTACTAACACAAGATCCGTTGTGAAATGGGATATAACGGCGAACTCCTTCTGGTACTTCCCCCACAAAGTTGAACCCACTGAAAAACAAAACGCGAAATAGGCGTCCAACTCTCTTCAAATTTCACACATCCATATATTTTCAATATTTCATACGTTTATCTGTCATAACTTGCGAAACAAGTCGGCGATTCCTTACAACTTGTTAAATCTAAATATTTTCCTTAGCCACAAATCTGATATGAATATGTCATTTATAAAAATTTGTGATTTCGCATAAAATTGGATATAAATGTTCGATTTTCTTTAAATTTTGCGCATATTTCAATATTTTTGAAAAATTTGCACATATCTCATATAAAGTATAGGAAGTAGTCGATGTAGTCCAAACATGACACGTTGTAATATTTATATCAGTCTTTTGCCAGATACGAGTTGGTCAATATTGGCCAACTGCTTCGGAACCTCCCCTATAAAGGGTCGATGGTTTGAATAAACCGATGGTTTGAATAAACCGGTTTTGCCGACCGACCGGCAAAACCGACTGCTACTATTTATCTGGTTTTTTCTGGTCTCAATTTAAATATGTTCACTATAAAATTTCGTATTTTAATCGGAAATTGGTAATGACGAAAAATTGGGGTTTTGGGCCTAGAAAATCGAGTTCTGAATCATTCCGTTTAAATTTCTTACGATAATCATAATCGGTTAACAAATATCGTAAAATCCAAAAAAAAAGTCCCACAATACACAATTTCCAATATTTATTTACATAAATAATTTGGCACACACAACAAAAGTAATAAACTCTAATTTGATTGCCTACCGGTAGGCAGTGGGCAGACCCCCCAAAACTTTTTATTTGAACTCCTCTCTTAACGCAAAAAGAGAGAGAGAGAGAATGGCTTCTTTCTACCTTTATTTTATTTATAGAACCCAATCTTCGTTATCTTCTTCTTTTTATTAGAAATCGCCAATAATAAATAAATAAATAAAAATATATTGGTGAGAGGCGAATTTTGATAATTTGGAAATCTCAAACATTTGTTTGGTTGGTTGGGGTTGTACATTTGAAATCTCATTTGGATGCTAATTGATGCAATGACCTGTGTGTGTGTGTATTTGTGTGTGTGCTGGCGTACGTGTGGAAATAAGTGTTATGTGTATTTTACCAAATTATGCTAAACATTTGCTTACCCCCCCAAGATCGCTGAGAGCCCATAGATTTGTGTTACACTATAAAAGTTAAGGCTGCTTTGAGATTCGCCATCAGTTCAGTGCTAATCATTCACATCGAACCATCTGACAAAATGAAAGTTTTCGTAGTCGTTGCCCTTCTTGCCACCTGTGCCTTGGCTGCCCCACAAAGAGGTGTCGGCAGTGCTGGCGCTTCTGCCAATGCCGCAGCTTCGGCCAATGCCAAGGGTAGTGGTGGTGGTTTTGGCGGTCCAGGAGCTGGTTTCGGTGGCGGTCCTGGATTCGGTGGTCCTGGCGGTTTTGGCGGTCCTGGTGGTTTTGGCGGTCGTCCCGGTGGTGCTGGCGGTGCTGCCAGCGCCGCTGCTAATGCTGCTGCTTCTGCCAATGCCAAGGGTAATGGTGGTGGTTTCGGCGGTCCTGGCGGTTTTGGCGGCCCTGGAGCTGGTTTCGGTGGACCTGGTGCTGGTTTCGGTGGACCTGGTGGTTTCGGTGGTCCTGGTGCTGGTTTCGGTGGTGCTGGCGGTGCTGCCAACGCCAATGCTAACGCTGCTGCCAATGCCAATGCTGCCGGTGGTGCTGGTGGTCTCGGTGGTTTCGGTGGTCGTCCTGGTTTCGGTGGCGCTTCTGGTTCTGCTTCAGCATCTGCATCTTCATCGGCCACAGCCTCCGGCAACGGCCGTGGTGGTGCTGCTGGTGCCAATGCCAGTGCTACCGCTACTGCCAACGCTGGTGCCGGTGCTGGCAAACGCGGTTAAACCCTGCGAATAGCTTGTAAGCCTTTTTTTAAAGTAGTTTTGTGATAAATTATTGTTAAATTAATAAAATAATTTTGTAAAAAAGTTTAAAAAACAGTGGTTTTATTTTATTAATGTAAATGTATAATTGTGGGAAGAAAATCCTATACTATCATTTTTACGAGCACAGAGGTTAAATCGTCTGATGTGGACAAAATATGTAGCATTGAAATAATGGTTTTGGTTTCCCTGGGGATCCAGCCATATATCCCTACGTTGGTGTCAATATAACACCCAAAGGGAGCATGGAATTTTTTTGTATATCAAAGTTTTGTCTACTTTGAAGCTGCAAAGCAGAGGTCTACTCCTTCTGCTGTCCCAACATAAAAGCGGAAAGCTAAAAAGATATATCTACCGTAGAAAACAATGGAAATATCCGATACACGTATGGTAACATTTGTCAACCTTAAATCAGATATGAAAATAAACAAGATCGAACTATTCCTTCTTTTACCTCTCCAAAAAAAAAAATCCAGATTTTGAATAATCATAACTCACATAAAATGCTTAATAATTTTTTGTTTTTCTTTACAGGCGATGTAAAGATTGGATATATCAGACCTCCCCTTCCCATTACAAAAAAAAAAAACTCAAAATGTACGAATTTATTGCCTAACAATACCCTCCACCATTCTACGGAAGGTATATTAGCTTTGTCATTCCATTTGTAACTCCTCTAAATATTCATAATAGACCCCACAAAGTATTTATATTCTGGATCAGCGTAAAATTCTAAGACGATCTTGTCTTGACGATGTCCGTCTGTTATAGTCACGCTATCTTTCGAACGAATTGAGATAGAAGGCTTCCATACGTCTTTACCTCTCGATATTCGGTATTTTCATGATTTCAGCAAACTTATTCACCGGAATCGTTTCGAATTTCGTACTGGAAGAGTTTAATGTGTGCCACAACCCATGACAAAAATTTTCGTATGCAGGTCCATATCTTTGTATAGTCCCCATATGACGGTACATCCCGATACTCGGTATTTTTTGGATTTTTGCGACATTATTCGACATTATTTTCATATTAAAATTTCGTTATGGTTCACGTTTTTGTGAATCCCCCATATAACGGTTTTCATTTAAGTGGTAGGTTGAGACCCTAGGTCTCTTTGGACCAAATGCGTTTCAGGACATTTAGAATCGATCGAGCGATGACCGTCCGTCTGTGTGGCTGTTGCGCACGATAACTCTCGCAGGGATTATCCGAATTGGTCCAAACCTAGTAAATCGTTATATTTTTTTTTTTTTTTTTTTTTGCCAAAGTTAGATCGAGTTCGGGGATGGCCAAAATCGGTCCACACCTTCTGGTACTTCCCCAGAAAAGGTCGAAATTTTAATTTTTTTTTTTTTTTGCATAAAATGGGAAACGATAGTCCGATTTTTTTCCAACTTCGCAACTCCTAATATATGCATCAATTCTAGGTCAGGTGCGAAAATGGATAATATCTGTCCACACCATGAAGTACCTCCCCACAATGTGTCAAAATTTTGAATAATTATAACACTTATAAAATGTGATGTAAGTGTCCGATTGTCTTCAAATTACACACATCACAATATTTTTATTAACCCAAGGCCTGGTGTGAAGATGAAATATATCTTCCCACTCCTTCTGGTACCTCCCACACAAATTGTCAACATTTTCAAAGAAAATAATTTATAATCCGATTTTGCTTCAACTTTGCGGATCCTAATATTTGCATTAGTGCTACGTCGGGTTTGAAAATGGACAATATCGGTCCACTCCATCAAGTACCTCCCCCACAAAGGGTTAAATTTTGGAATAATTATAACTCTTATAAATTGTGATGTAAAATAACACACATCACAATATTTTTATTAACTCTGGTGTGAAGATGTCCACCCACTCCTTCTGGTACCTCCCCCACAAGGGTAAAAAAAAATTTTGAGCTCATAAAACGCAAAATTAACATCAGATTTCACTCAGATTTGGCACATCCGATGGTCCGATGGCAGATATCGGACAATTTCTTCTGGTACCTCCACTATTTCTAAAACTTGTCACATATCTCATATAAAATGAAGGAAATAACCAATATAGTTCAAACCTGACATGTTGCAATATTTATATCATACTTATTTAGGTTCCGAAAGAATGGCGTCAATATTGACCCATTCTTGCGGAACCTACTCCATAAATGGTCAACAATTTGAATAATCATAACAGAAGTCAAAATATGCAAAGTGAGATAAAAAAAAAACTACCACAAAGTAAAACACACACACACATTTTTTTAATTTTTATTGAATGAAAGCAAAAAATGTCGGAAATAGCATCAAATTTTAGAATAAGTTTAGATTTGTTCGAATTGGTCACCTTTGGCACGAATTATGGCCTTCAAACGGCCAATGAGACCGTCACACGTTGCCCGAATATTGCTCTGCGGTATTTTGGTTCATCCCCGGTGAAGCGCTTGCTTTGAGTTTTTTTAGTGCCAACCTTGCTTTCCAAAATACTCCAGATACAATAGTCCAACGGATTGGTATCCGGAGATTTTGGTGGCCATTATGCGCTGGAAATTAAGCGAGGACCCTCATTTTGCAACCATTCCTGGGTGGCACGTGTTGAGTCCTGTTGGAATGTCCAAAGTCTGCGGGCAAAATGTTTGCGTGCCCAAGGCTTTAATACACCCTCCAAATATTTTCGCGATAATATTCGCAATTTATTCTGATGCCACGGTCGATTAATACGAGCGGAGAGCGATCATCGGCTGCTATGACGGCCCACACCATCACCATGGCCGGCGCTTGAGTTCTGGTGGCCAACCGAAGGTGCACATTTTCAGCTGACGTCTTTGACAATAAAATACGATCATTTTGTTTGTTTACAAACTGCTGGACAACGAATGTTTTCTCATCGGAGAAAGCCAAATTCGGCAGTTCACCACTTTCGGCCAAGCGAACCAACACTTTAGCTCCTTTGAGTTTATTTTCATTCTGTTGCGGTGTAAATTCTTGGACTTTTTGGAATTTCAATGGCTTCACCCCGAGCTCATTTTTCAATATTTGCCAAATGGAATATTGCGATATGTTCAGCTCACGAGCCATTTTTCAGCCACTGTGACGGGGGTTTCGATCAAGTCGCTTCTTTACTTTTCGAACCATTTCTGCTGACGTTGCTGTCCACTACCTTGACATCGGGCTACGCTACCAGTATCACGGTAACGAGCGATAGTACGAGACTCAAAAGATTTATTCACATTTAAATGTTGCAGTGCTCTAACGATAGCCACTTGTGGTTTTCCAGCCAAATATAAAGAAATCACACTATGACGCTTGAATTCCATCACGAATAACTTTTTATCTGGAAAATTCTCACCAAAATGCTTTTTTGTACGCTTGTAAACAATATAATGATCTGCCACTGGAATAATTTCAACAGCTGTCGGACAAGTGGCTTAGATATGAGAGCAGTCTGAAGTTTGTTGTAGATTTTTCATTTCACCCTGTTGGCTGAGGGTATACATCTGTCGGCAAAACCGTCTAATACTATTGTACTTTGTTTTTTTTTTTTTTTGTTTTCTGTACAGAATTAGGCCAAATATTTTTTGGATTTTTAATAGAAATATAAATTTTTTTTCTTTTGTTGGAAAATTTAGAATTTTACATAAAGTCAGATGAAGTACGACTTAAATCCAAAAAAATGCATTTTAATATTTGTGAATTTTTGGCGTTTGGGTAAGATTTAGAGTTTCGATGTTTTCTGGGACCTTTAGTAAAATTTTATGGCAAATAATTATATTGAATATTTTTAGTAGTTATGATCTCATTCAACTGTAATTTTTAATAATTTATTGATTGAACTGCAAATATATTACCGTCAAATGCCAGTTTAAATACTTAAATTTCTAATGTAGTTCTCATTTCTTGCAAATTATTATAGTAGGATGTATAGTTTATTCTGAGATTTATAGTGAAATTTGGTGCAGATTATTTCCTCTTCTGGTAGTTTTTGTCTAACATGAAGTATGAAGTTACTATCAAGCCCCAATTCGAAAAAGAAGTCATGAAAAAATTTAAAAATTTTTTTTTTTTTTTTTTTTTTGCAGCATAGATGCCTATATTTTCTTGATATATGATAAAAATATAAAATTGTTCTCGTTGATCACTCAGTGTGAAATTTGATGCAGAATATTTATGTCTTTGATGCCATGTATCTAAAATGATGTTTTATAGGAAAATGTTATACAAACTCTGTATACGTATAACTTTAATTCTAAAATGGACTCTTAATATTCACATATTCCTGGCGTTTACGTCAGATTTAGAGTTTTAATGTATTCTGAGATCTAAAGTAGAATTTCATGATAAATAATATTTTGGAACTGCTCGGATCCATTTTGGGAACCATTTTTGGAAAAATTTACCAAAAAAATTTACCCCTTTTCAACCAAAATAATCCCGTAATTTTTATCTGTATCCGTAGACTATCATATCTTAGCAATTATATAATTTATTAGTGGTCAAAAATTCGCAACGATCAACTATTTTCGCCTTACTCTATAGGGATGTTTCTCAAACTCTTTGCCAAATCGAACTGAGCCGCCTCAATCCCAAACAATGACTAATAACTTTAATTCATTCGGCATATTTATTTATAATTATATGTGGATATATATAAAAAATAAAAATATATATGTATATATGTATATACATATATGTGTTATTGTTATTTGTTTTTGACAGGAGAAACTATAATTGATAGTCTTCATGTCGGTCGGGATCTTAATGCATGTTTCGTTTTGTTTTTTTGGAACTGGTTCTCTGTAGTGTTTGTTAGAAGTGGTCTAAGTTTTTGTTCGGGATTTGTTTTTTCGTGGTTTCGGTTTTGGTTTTTTCCTCTCTAATAAAGACGTTCCGCTTTTGAGGCAGTTAATTTATTAATAGCTTCAATTGCTAAGAACTGAAACTGAAAAAAAAAAAAAAAACAAATTAATTATTCGGCAAAATGTTGTCTTGTTTCAAAAAAAAAAAAAAAAAAATGCGTTTCAAAAGAAGGAAAGAAAACGAAAAATCCCCAAAAAATTTTTGAATGGCAGATATATAAGTCTGCAGTTTTAGTTGTGCCCATCAAGTAGTTAACTTTCATTCGCAGTGAAGTCATGAAGTTGTTCGCAGTATTAGGTGCCCTGACGGTGGGCATAATGGCAGCCAATGGTATTGGCATTGGTGGAGGTGGAGGTTTTGGTGGAGCATCATCCAGTGCCTCAGCATCGGCCTCGGCTGGGGCAGTTGGTGGTGGTTTTGGCGGTGGTGGCCTTGGTGGCGGTAAAGGATTTGGCGGCGGCAAAGGTGGCGGCTTTGGCGGTGGACCTGGTTTTGGTGGCGGTGGTTTGGGTGGTGGCTTCGGCGGTGCTGGAGCCAATGCCGGCGCCAGTGCAGGTGCCATTGGCGGCGGCAAGGGTGGCGGTTTCGGTCCAGGTCTAGGTGGCGGTTTTGGCCCCGGCGGTGGTTTCGGTGGCGGTAAAGGCCACGGTGGCCTAGGCGGCCATGGTGGTTTCGGCGGTGGTGGTCTGGGTGGTGGCTTCGGCGGTGCTGGAGCTAACGCTGGCGCCAGTGCTGGTGCCTTTGGCGGCGGCAAGGGTGGCGGTTTCGGCCCTGGAATTGGTGGCGGTTTCGGCCCAGGTGGCGGCTTCGGAGGCGGCAAAGGCCTTGGCGGTGCCTATGGAAAACCTGGTTTCGGTGGTGGTGGTTTGGGCGGTGGCTTTGGCGGTGCCGGAGCCAGTGCCAGTGCTGCAGCCAACGCCGGTGCTTATGGCGGCGGCGGCTTCAAGGGTTAAACCCCATCACAATCACAACTGTACCAAGCTTTGCTAACGAAAACAAACCAAAAATAAAGAACGAAATTATTAATTTAGTTAAATGCTAATATCATCTTGTGTTCTGTTTGTTTGTTTTTTCTTTTCTTCTTTGAGATTCTTAGTTTGTTTACTTCGAAGTTTTGTTTTGCAAATTAATCAAAATAGAAGCCCACCACACAATTAACAATGTTAATTTAATTTGTTGCTTCGATAACCAGTTTACCGGTTTCTTTTTTTATAGTTTTGCCTAAAGCCGGTTTTAAACGTGGGATTATGTATCATAAAAGTTGGCTTAAGAGCAGACCCCCATAAGAGAAATGGTTTGAAACCGGCATATCAGAAATTAATATTCATAATTAGAAAAAAAGTTGTGTTGTGGCGCTAAAACAAAAAATATTGATCGGCAGATGTTCGATATGTTTAAACACACTTAATTAGAGGGGGTTTTATTATGACATTCATTTTATTTTCAAAAATATAAAAATGAAGTTTTTAGGTATCAAAATGACCATCTACAGGGCAAAGGAATAAAAATTGGCCTTATTGAGGTGTAATTGGAGCTATAATAAAGGACGTAGACATTTGTCATAAAATTTTACTATAGGTTCCGGGATACATAAATGGACTTTATCTTACCTAATGGACTTATCTTACACTAAAAAACACATTTTAGGATTAAGGCCGTAGTTCATGTGGTTTTATGCTTCAATTCTGCCAAAAATATTTCCTAATTATTTTCATCAATTTTTCCTCCATGTGAGTTTATGTAAAATTCTCCAATAAAACATCATTTTAGAACGATGACGTCAAAGACAAAAATATTCTGCATCAAATTTCACTATAAGTTCTTAAAGAGAAGAAATCTCTATTTCCATTAGATATCAAGAAAATATATGCTTCAATTCTGCAAAAAAATCATTTTGATCAATTTTTCCTTCATCTGAGTTTATGCAAAATTCTCCACGAAAACATCATTTTAGAACGATGACATTAAAGAAAAGAATATTCTGCATCAAATTTCACTATAAGTTCTCAACGAGAAGAAATCTATATTTCCATTAGATATCAAGAAAATATATGCTTCAATTCTGCCAAAAATATTTCGTAATTATTTTATCACTTTTTCCTTCATGTATGAGTTTATGCAAAATTCTCCAATAAAACATCATCTTAGAATGATGACGTGAAGGACAAAAATATTCCGCATCAAATTTCGCTAGAGGCCCTCAACGAAAAGAAATCTCTATTTCCATTAAATATCAGAAAAATATTTGCTTCAATTCTGCAAAAAAAAATGTCAAAAATATTTCTTAATTACTTTGATCAATTTTTCCTTCATGTGAGTTTATGCGAAAATCTCCAATAAAACATCATCTTAGAATGATGACATCAAAGACAAAAATATTCTGCATCAAATTTCACTATAAGTTCTCAATGAGAAGAAATCTATATTTTAATTAAATATCAAGAAAATACGAGCATCATTATTAGAAAAAAAACTTAAAAATATTTCCTAATTATTTTAATCAATTTTTCCTTCATGTGAGTTTATGCGAAAATCTCCAATAAAACATCATCTCAGAATGATGACGTCAAGGACGAGAATATTCTGCATCAAATTTCACTATAAGTTCTCAACGAGAAGATTTCCTTTAGATATCAAGAAAATATATGCTTCAATTCTGCCAAAAAAAGCCAAAAATACTTCCTAATTATTTTGATCAATTTTTCCTTCATGTGTGAGTTTATGCAAAATTCTCCAAAAAAACATCATTTTAGAATGATGAACTCAAAGACAAGAATATTCTGCATCAAATTTCACTATAAGTCACCAACGAAACGAAATGTCTATTTCCATTAGATATCAAGAAAATATATGCCTCAATTCTGCAAAAAAAAAACCAAAAATATTTCCTAATTATTTTGATCAATTTTTCCTTCATGTGAGTTTATGCGAAGTTCTCCAATACAACATCATTTTAGAATGATGACGTCAAAGACAAAAATATTCTGCATCAAATTTCACTATAAGTTCTCAACGAAAAGAAATTTCTATTTCCATTAGATATCAAGAAAAAAATATGCTTCAATTATGCAAAAAAAAGTCAAAAATATTTCCTAATTATTTGCATCAATTTTTCCTTCATGTATGAGTTTATGCGAAATTCTCCAATAAAACATTATCTTAGAATGATGACGTCAAAGACAAAAATATTCTGCATCACATTTCGCTGTAAGTCACCAACGAGAAGAAATCTCTATTTTTATTAGATATCAAGAAAATATATGCTTCAATTCTGCAAAAAAAAAGTCGAAAATATTTCCTAATTATTTAGATCAATTTTTCCTTCATGTGTGAATTTATGCGAAATTCTCCAATAAAACATTATCTTAGAATAATGACGTCAAAGAAAAGAATATTCTGCATCAAATTTCACTATAAGTTCTCAACGAGGAGAAATCTCTATTTTCATTAGATATCAAGAAAATATATGCTTCAATTCTGCCAAAAAAAAAAATAAAAAAAAACAAAAATACTTCGTAATTATTTTGACCAATTTTTCCTTCATGTGAGTTTATGCAAAATTCTCCAAGAAAACATCATTTTAGAACGATGACGTCAAGAAGGAGAATATTCTGCATCAAATTTTACTATAAGCTCTCAACGAAAAGAAATCTCTATTCCCATTAAATATCAGAAAAATATTTGCTTCAATTCTGCAAAATTCTCCAATAAAGCATAATTTTAGAATGATGACGTCAAAGACAAAAATATTCTGCATCAAATTTCACTATAAGCTCTCAACGAGAAGAAATTTCTATTTTCATTAGTTATCAAGAAAACATATACTTCAATTTTGCCAAAAAAAAAAAGCCAAAAATATTTCATAATAATGTGAGTTTATGTAAAATTTTCCAATAAAACATCATTTTAGAACGATGACGTCAAAGACAAAAATATTCTGCATCAAATTTCACTATAAGTTCTCAAAGAGAAGAAATCACTATTTTCATAAAATATCAGGAAAATATATGCTTCAGTTCTGCAAAAAAAAAAAATCAAAAATATTTCCTAATTATTTTTATCAATTTTTCCTTCATTTGACTTTATGCAAAATTCTCCAATAAAAAATCATTTTAGAATGATGACGTCAAAGACAAAAATATTCTGCATCAAATTTCACTAGAGGCTCTCAACGAGAAGAAATTTCTATTTCCATTAAATATCAGGAAAGTATTTGCTTCAATTTTGATGAAAAAAAGTCAAAAATATTTCCTAATTCATTTCATCAATTTTTCCTTAATGTGAGTTTTTGCGAAATTCTCCAATAAAACATCATCTTAGAATGATGACGTCAAAGACAAAAATATTCTGCATCAAATTTCACTATAAGTTGCCAATGAGAAGAAATCTCTATTTTCATAAAATATCAGGAAAATATTTGCTTTAAATTTGCGGGTAGAGAGGGTATATATCATTTGATACGGCCAAAACGTTCGGCTCAACAAAATAACGGATCCTAGGTCCCTTTGAATCAAATACGTTTTAGGATATTTGGTGTCGATCTGGTTATGTCCGCCTCCCTGCCTATCTAGATGGCTGATGCGCACGATTACTCTCGAAGGGAGTATGCGATTTGGATAAAACTTGGTACATCGTAATATTATTATCAAACTTATATCGAGTTCGGAGATGATCAAAGGTCGATAATTTCAAAAAAAATAATATTTTACTGCACAGAGAGAGAAAGGATAATTCGATTATGCCGCAACTTTAAAAATCCTAATATTTGCATCTGTACTAGTTCAGGTGCGTAAATGGACAATATAAGTCCATTCCTTCTGCTATCTCCCCTAAAAGGCTCAAAATTTTGAATAAGTCTTATAAACTGTGATGTAAGAGCCGGATTGTCTTTAGATTACATGCATCACAATATTTGTATTAACCCAAGGTCAGGAGTGAAAATGGAGTGTATCGGCCCCCACCTTTGGTACCTTCCACACAAAAAGTCAAACTTAGAATAACCAAAGCTATCATAAAATCTGAAATAAGTATCCGGTTCCCTTTATATATTGTACATACGAGTAGTTTTACTTACACAAGATGTGCTGTGGAAATTGCATATATCGGTCCACTCCTTGTGGTACCTCCCCCTAGAAAGGGTCAACATTTTGAATATCCATGATGTTCATAAAACGCGAAATTAACATCCGATTCCTTTCAGACATGGTACATCTTAATTTTTCCATCAACACAAGAGCAGTTATAAAGATGGTAGAGATCGGACCATTTCTCATGGTACCTCCCCCATATAGGGTTCAAGATTTTGAAAAATAAAACTATCAAAGATAGCAAAATTTAAATTTAACACACACAATATCGTTGAAGCTCATAAAGCGTCAAATTAACATCCGATTCCATTCTGACATGGTTCACCTCCGTATTTCCATCTGTTATAAATATGGTAAAGATCGGACCATGTAAGTGTTCGATTTTCTTGTAAGTTTACCAATACCAATATTTGTATTTGTATTAGATAAAGTAAGAAAATTGAATACTTCGGCCGATTATATCTGGAATGGATAGATCGAAACTACAAATATACTAAAAAGAACTTCGTCCAACTATAATTACAAGAATATATATATTTTTTAAATCCAATATCATAGCTTGGCCGGTCCTTCACAAAAATATTCTTTAAAAATAAACGCCTTAAAATTAACGTTTAAATCTTGAATTTTCCGTAAAAAATAAGTTATAGTTTGGATAGTCTTGGAAAAAATAAATTTTTTATCATTTAGCAACAAATATTCTATAAAAATTCAGCTTAATAACAAATGTGACCTTTAGACAAATATCCTTTACGTTCAAAGTTTGGATGGTCCTTAAAATAAAACAAAAAAATATATATTCCATGGATGAACCTTGAAAAATACTTTTTAAAAATCTACATTTAAAGTTTGGTTGGTCCTTAGAT